CTGTGAATCAAAAGAACAGATGACGAAAGAAAAGGATGCAAGAGAGATAAAAATAAAAATAAAAAAGGAAAAAAGTGAATCAAAAGAACAGATGACGAAAGAAAAGGATGCAAGAGAGAACATAACAGCAAAGAGAATATCGTTGATAAGATGATACAGCCTAGATCCAAAGGATCTATACAAAGCTGACCAAGAACGAGCATAACAGGAAGAAGAAACAGAAAGAAGACTTACYTGTGAAGCTCCACCATGAACAAGAAGTCGATCAGATCTGATAACAGCGGATTGTGATGCTGTGATACCATGAAGAAAAGTATAATCTCACTTTATTCATGTATATCAACAGATTTACAACAAGAAAAGTAATACAAACCAACCTCTAGACCTTAAACTTTGTTAACCAAARYGATTAACAAAACTATTCAAAGGCTTATTCTAGAGAGAAAAATAGAGAGCTAAAACTATCAATCGACTAAAAGTGGAGAAAATGATATCTGATATGAAYAAATCTGAMGCAAGAAACGAATATATATAAATCTCGAAATTGCAAGAAAGGTCCTTCAAGTTTATGAAAATTGCTCCGCTACCCTCCAATAATTCCAATATGTGAGGCGCAACCCATGCACTTGACAGCCATACTTCCGAAGCATCCAACACTGTTTATAAAAGATACAAAAGTTAAGATTGTTAGAATTATAGGTAACTTTCAACACATATGTATGTGTGTGAACATATATGACACACTATGGACGGACACACACGTGCGCATGCAAACATATTGTCATTGTACATTTTGTGTAACACCTTTTCAGGTTATAAATCCTTACTTATCATAGATTTATAAGATGATTGACACCAAAAAAAAAAACTTGTGTCAATATGGAGGATATGCTAGTTCAAGTCTAGTTTCGTTCATATTAAATACTAAAGGTGGGAACAGATAGAATTCTGACAAACTCAATCGTTGTATAGTTATAGATGATATAACATAAGAATAAGTCGATTTGATGTGTTGAGAGGTTATACTGTACAATTGGAATAGCCAATTTATAGACAACGGTAAAGAGGTGGTTAATCTTGTCGTCCTAACTGGCAACACAAATGCATAAACCATTTGGTGGTCCAAATTTTTTTATAGTTAGATGAAAACATAACATGTACAATTAAGCAATGTTTCTATTTAAAACGAAATCAGCATCGCATTTATGAAACGAAAAGAAATGCATTATTACACCTATAAGATACTTGACAAAAGCATATGTATATTGACTCAAGACGACTAGAGACGGAGAAAACAACTCGAAAATTAGGACCACGTCTATACAGTAATAAATTCTGAAGAGCTTTTAAATGGTTAGCTCTCTCCTGATCAAGAAGCATTTAAAAGAAATATCATGAACTGGTTTTAATCCAAACTGATATTTTCTATTTTTTAACTGGTTTTGGTTATAACCAATAATTATCTTAAAAGTAGACTTTTTAGCCTAACTTCTCCCAATTGTTTTCACTTGTCCTTAACTATCTCTATCTTAATCTATGTTTATCGGCTTTTTGATTCTTACCAGTATTTTTAAACCCATATTATGTAATTCATTTTAATCCAATAATATATTTATTACTTAAGTAAAACTGGTTGATCCAAAACAAGTAATAGCAAAATGATCGGACATCTAATGATATCCGAGAATCCAATCCGTTGTAGCTATTATTAAATTCAAGTGATACCAATTGTGTACGAGGAGACTTTTGTAACGTTGTAAAAAGTCCAAATAAACAACGAGGCCACATATTATAAAATTAGAAAACATAATTTTCAATTACAGATTCAAAAAACTGAAATGACCATTTTATCCTCGATCCTCATCGCTCCGGCTCCATCTTCCCACCCCATCACATCCCCTCCTCTATGATCTTATATATAACCAAATAAACAATCTTTTGTTGCACAAAGTACACAAAACCCATCATGGTTTTATTTGTATCATTCGATTTTTTATTATTGATTTAAAAAAGAATTCGTTTAACCACAAGGGTGATGCCTGATTGATTTGAGTTTGACTTCAAATGTCAAAAACATCAAGAGGTCTCAGTTTCAAATCCAATGATGAATAAAATGTGGCCATGAAGGTTCAAATACGGTGACTCCGAACTATCTACAAAGCATATGATCGTACTGAAATTAGTCAATTCATATAACGAGTTGGATATCCAGGTTAATAAAAAAGATTGTGGTTGTTTGACGTAATATGACATGGTTTTTTACCACAAAATTACAAAGGAGAAGTCAAATAACATGAATGCGGTTAAAGTCTCTCAACCAATCAAAATGGCTGCCCCCACACCATTCTCTCAAATGTACAACCTTTTGTTGCACAAAGTACACACAACACAGCATGTTTTAGGCCACAGAATTACGAATTTCAGTTACAAATTCACCAATCAAAATGACCATTGTACCCTCACACCCATCCCCACCACACCATCTTCTCCGTTTGACTCGACCCCAATGTACAACCTTTTGTTGCATAGAGTAGACAAGATTCACCATCATTTTTGCCACATAAGGAAACCGAAAACCTGTTATAATTGACTAATCAATCAAAATTACCATTCTACCCATCCATACCCACTGCAAAAAGGTACGATCTTTATTGCACAAAAACTACCATGTTTTCTTTTCTCCTACAAAAGAGAACATATCGAGTTGTAGAATAATTAAATGGAAATGACCATTCTGCCACCTGCTCCATACCCCACCTTCCCTCCTCTCTCAAACACGATCAAGTGTTTTATGTGTATAAATAAGGAAGCAACTGCTCCTTTTCTCTTTTCCGAGGCAAACGCCCACAAACTCATCCATCCTTCTCAACCAATCCACACATCCAAAACCAGAGAAGCAAAAAGGGCAAAACGGGAAACATATAATCTCTTCTACTCTGCAATATTTCATGTGTAAGTTTTTCTTCATCTTCATCTTCATCTTCATCTTATGATCAAGATTCAAGCATTCACATTCCACACTTTTGATCGAATCATCTTCTTCATCAAAAACCAGACTCTGTTTTCATGTTTTCTGGATCGAAACATGAAACCCCACAAAAAAAAATGCAGTCTTTTTCATCCAGATTTCAACAGTTCATATGATCATAACATTCTCTGCATATATGTTTTCATTAACATGATGACTTAGTTTCTTGCTATTTAACTTCATTAAAAAGATTGGAATTTGATTCAGATCTCAAAATCTTGAATGGTCTGAGTGTTTGTTCATCCCTCTGTTTTCTACTCTGTAAAGTCCCCTTCACAAAGACTATATTTTTTTCATTATCTTCAAGAAAAAGCAACCACCTGGCTCTTCTCTGTAATATTATTCTAAATTCCTCACTTGGATTTTTTATATTATTTTTTATAAATACAAAATCACTCCAAAATGCATATTTTTTTTTAATATTATACATGAAATCTTGATAATTTTGGAGCATACGAAGCATGTAAATTCGTTTGAAACCATGCATTTTCTTTAATTTCAAGATTTAAATATACATTTTTTTATAAAATAATGAAACATTTAAAAATGGAATTTACTTGTGTGCAAGCACAGCCATATATGCTGTCTCCATTTCTCCTGCAACTGGGTGTTTTTAATTTGTGTGTGTTTATTAATTGAATTTTTTTATTTCTATATAATAATCTTTCCGTAACAAAATATCAGCCACAATAATATGAATATCATATCGTCTGGTCAGAGTCATTTAAACGATTAAATGATGTTAGCATACATTTTTTTCAGTATTTTTGGTATTTTAATTTCCATAAATTAATTATTTTGGTAACAAAATATCATCCATAACATTGAGTTTTTTTTTCAAGATTTTGTATAAATGTTTATGGGTTTTTGGATATTTTTAAAGAACGAAAGGAGTATATAATGTTTATGATTATCTATGAACGTGATATTTTGTGATTTCAATATATTAAACCAACATGATTTATTTTAATCGAGATATTTAAAATCATCCAATGGTCTTTTATTTGTCTTAATTAATTCGAATTTTAAATTAGTATTTAATGATTTTTCCCACTTCCCCTCATGTAATATTTACCCTATTTAATGAATCTTTTTTCCTAAATAAATAAAAGTAGAAACCGTTTCTCTCTTACAGGTCCGAGTTCATAATTTCGTCATTTTAACGACACGCGAATATGAAAACCAAAAGCGTAAGACATCCCAAGGTTTGTTTATTTTCCGTTACATTTTTTACAAAAAAACTGAAATTACGCTCTCGAGAATAACCCGTACGTATTTGTGTTATTCTCGAGAATTTTAATTTGATATAAATAATTGAATATATATATATTTTTTTACAGGAGCATGGATCATGGCCAAAAATGAATATGAGAAAATGGTTGAATCTAAAGAAAGGAGCAGATGGTTTCCATTCTGATTTTTCTGTAAATGGTAATGATTTTTTTTGATTTATTTATCTTTTTACTTTTATTTATTGTAATTATTGCAAATGAGTAATCATATTTATTATTCTATTTATTTTTGGTAAGGTGACGGATCAGTTGCACCAGATAGGAGCGAGAGAAGGAAGAGTTGTTCCGACGATGGTCGATACGCCGTCGTACCGGAGGAGTTATCAGGTACTACTATTTATTTGATGTGTGGCGGCGCTGTAGTTATTTTTCATAGTCCTTAGCCAGTTATAGCCGTCCGATCTGGCCTATTTTAGTTTCAGCCTATCAGTGTTCAGAACCATCAAATCAAACGGCTGGTTTTATTTGATTGGAGAGAACCAATTAAAAAAGGAAACTTCGAAAAAAGTATCTTTTTATCGTCCGTTTTTGGTATTAGATTTTGATTCTATCAAATTTAACTAAAATAATTTACATATATTCTGAAAAATACTACTAGTCGTTTTATAAATTTTAAAAGTATCGAGAAAAAAGAAACGTATATTAAAAATATTATTATCCTTGCATGGTCACAGATGAATGGTTGACAGAGGCTGCAAATGACGATATTGGACAGTCGAGATCAGAGAAAGTTGATCTGAGGTACACGGATGTTTATCGATCTTGTAAAAGACAATTTTTAGCCCACTTTCACAAATAACGTCCAAAGTTGAAACTTAAATAGTAACTTCCGATTTTACCCCTCAAGATCTAATGATTTTTTTTGTTTGTAGCATGTTTGTTGGGACATGGAATGTAGGAGGAAATTGCCCACATAAGGATTTGGATGTGAGAGATTGGCTGAGAACTTCATCGCCTGCTCATGTTTATGTTATTGGGTATGTTTTGTAATTTTGAAGAAGTAAGAGGGGCATAAATGTAAAATACTATTTCCGTAAATCATAATCAACTGTTGTTTTACCTTTTCACCCTTACCAATGGAGCAGGTTTCAAGAGATCGTACCCTTAAACGCAGGCAACGTTCTGGGGACGGAGAACAAAAGCTCTGCTGCCAAGTGGCTATCACTCATTTATGAAGCTTTGAACACTAACCCCGGACGTCCGCGTAATTACAATCCTACCACTGCCGTTGACCAGCACCATCAGTCAACCCTAAAGCCCAGAGCCAGTTTCTCTGATCTTCTTTCTCTTGAAGATGGACTTGATCAAGAAGAATTCCAAAGGTTTTTCACCACCAATTTCAATAATAATAACGACAACGATAACGATGATGGGATTAATGATCTCAACACGAAGCAAAATCACGGTTTCCGATTGGTTGCAAGTAAGCAAATGGTCGGGATCTTTCTTTGCGTATTCGTACGCAAAGATGTGTGTAGTCATGTTAGCGACTTGAAGGTGTCGTGTGTCGGAAGAGGCATAATGGGGTATCTTGGAAATAAGGTAAAATACAGACAAGTCATAGCGTATAATCATTTTATAAGCCGAACATTTATAATTATTTGGGGTTTTATTGACGCTTATCTTGTCTTGATTTATAGGGGTCTATTTCTATTAGCATGACGTTACATCGTACTACATTTTGCTTCGTTTGCACTCATTTGGCCTCCGGAGAGAAAGAAGGTGACGAGTTCAAGAGAAATGCAGACGTGATGGAAATCTTGAAAAAGACCAGATTTTCTCGTTCATATAGAACGCTCGGGAAACCGATCCCTCCCGATAATATTTTGGGCCATGAGTAAGATTTCTATTTTCTGTTCCAATAATATAATTTTTTTCTATTTTATGTTTTTTTTACGTGATCACTTGTATGCCGTCTAATTTTTCTTCGTTTCCTGTGTAGTAAGATAATTTGGCTCGGGGATTTAAATTATCGCTTGTCATCTACCTCCGGTGACGTGCACGAGTTCCTCCAAAGAAATGATTGGCCAGCGCTTCTAGAGAAAGATCAGGTAAATAGTCCTCGTTTACATACATATTTTTATCGTCATCGAGTAATTATATATAACGAAAATAAAACACAAATCATGGTTTACAGTTAAGAATAGAGCAAAAGGCGGGGCGCATTTTTGAAGGATGGGAAGAGGGCAATATACATTTTGCTCCGACATACAAATACATTACCAACTCTGACTGTTACGTCGCCCACACTTCGACTCCCAAAGAGAACAGACGTACGCCCGCTTGGTAAGATCCGAATATCTTTTTTTAATCGATATAATAATAAAAAAATTGAAATTAATTATTAATTGTGGAAACATATGTTGACTTTTGTGGATATTTTGATTTGGTCAACTCTCTTGAAATAATTCAAGTTTATTAGCATGTAGAATCCCAATCTATAGACTTAGACCCTGATTTATTCAGGCTCAAATGGTTCTCAAATCCCACTTGCTATAAAATTTGCATCCAAGTGTCATTTTGACTTTGTAACGAATATCACACTATCGTAATTAGTTGACTTTTTTTATTCTTTGAGACTTCCTTGTCACGTGGGACCTACTATTTTGATTGGTCATTTTAGTAGAACCTTGACGACTGTATCAATTATTTACAAACAGTGTTGCAATTTGAACGTTTTATTCAGATCAAGTTGGAGTTTCGTGTGCTAAAAAGGAGCATTTGACGTCATGTATGTGACGAGATTTATAGAAAAGGGGTTCAAGATAATATAGGGAATGAAGTTCATTTATAATCGTTCTTTATGAACGTTCTGATTTTTTTTATGGATGGATATAAATGATAGGTGCGATCGGATTTTGTGGAAAGGTGAAGGGCTGAAACAAATGTCGTATATAAGGGGTGAATCGAAGTTCTCAGATCACAGGCCGGTTTCTTCTGTGTTTTCAGTACAAGTGAGTATGCCTCTGAACGAGAATACAATAATCAAATTTTTGGATCCAAAGACTCTAAAGTCTTCGTTATTACCAGTTTGTGCCGCAAAAGTCCAAGCCGAAGAGTTGTTGCTAAGTAAGACAAAGAGTTGCATAGAAACCACCCCTCGGTTCTTGGGAGTTGCTAGAAAATTGATGAGCTATTAGATTCATGACACGTGTCACGTACGATCGATAAATGACGTGGACAAGATCACAAGAAAATGTCCACACCCTCGTTTTAGGCTTTTGTTTTTTCCCAAAAAGTTTGGGACATTGGAGCAATGAGTCGAATATGGCCTTCGTGGCTTGGGTAGTAAAAAATTAGCCCGGTCATACTTTGTTTTAGACTCGCTGGTCAAAATACGGAGTGGCCAATGGCATGGTGACGGGCAAGGTGAAGATACAGGAGAAAAATGGACGTTATGAATGAGAATAGACACAGCTTTTGGAAGGATTTTGATGGTCTTTTGTTATTATTACTATTCTTTCTTTACGGGGTTTTGTAAATTTTTAATCATCTTGTGAAAAGTAAAAACGTTTTTTAAACTTTATTTTTCATAGAGTAGTAAACAGTTGAGAGGTTTAACGTTGAAGTTCTTTTTACGCTTTAAACCGTCATATAGATTTTGTCCGATTATACGACTTAATGTCAAATAGATATTGTTTTGTATGCGTTATTTTTATATAGTTAATTGGGCAAAGATTCAATGGAGCACGACATAAATTATGTAAATGAGGTTCGCATTGAACCAACGCGATTCACGCCCTAAACTTGCCTCTTCTTGAAAATGGAAAATTGACTAGAAATTCAACTACTATTGCATTACTTAACATTATTAGACTTTCTTTTACTTGATTGATTTATGGGTGGTTGGGATTGCATATAAAGATAAGATAACTTGTTGACTTATTATGGTATGGTACCGGTAATAAACATTTTTGAGTGTTTGGATAAACAACTTATACCAGTGCCAAACCGGTAATAAGAAGTTTTTTAATAAGTTAAAACTCTTCTGGCTTATAATAAGTTGATAAATGCTTTTGTAGAAAAGCATAAGTTGTTTCAAATAAGCAAATCCCAAACTTGATGATTATTTGTTCGGCCATCAATCAGTTTTTGTTTGGTTTATTTTGTAAGAAATGATATAATTAAGGTTCAAAGTAAAACCTCTAAAATAAGGAAAAATGATGTTTGGTTTCAGGAAATTAACCAATCATTATAATAGATTTGGTTAAAATTCATTTCTCCTCAATTTGGAGGGAACGAAAATTTTATTCCAAAATTCACGTCTTTTTTTCTTTTCTTGTAATGTCTGTTCTTTTTTCTTCTTCTTATTTCTTCTTAGTTTGAAACTTTGAATCCACGAGAACAAGGTATTATCTCCCATTTTTGCAATATCTCCATCTCCAGTTTTTACAATATCTACATCTCCATCTCTGATTTTGGGTAGTAACCCTAACTTGATTTTGCAATATCTCCATCAAAATGAATTTGGGTTTCATCTCCATCTCCGTTGGGTTTTTTTAATTTCAATTTTGTCCATTTTGTGTTCAATTTTAATTGATTTGTCGAAGGAAGCAATTTGTGTTGGAGGTGTTGTGTTCGATTTTTGGTTTTTTGATTTCCATGGCAAGTTGGTAACACCACCATTGAACTGGTAGATCTCCACCAAGGAACAAGAAGACGAGTTTTCAATCGGTTTTGCATCTAGTTGTCATAAAGAAAAAGAAAAGACGATGAGTTCACTGGGTTTTGTGGTGGCAAAAAATGGTGATTGTCTTTCTATCTTGGGTGAAACCTAGCCGACATCTTCGAACAAAGTCCCCTAAATAATCATTCATCTATATAATATGTACTTTACTTGTATGCACAAGTACATACTATATAAATGAATGGTTATTTGATGTTCTACAATTTATTATTTTTTACAGTTTTTCCTTGAATTTAAACCTACTTAGTTAATGATCAGATATCTTATTTTAAGTATGTTTTAACAAGAACAAAAAATTTCTCCGAAGCCACATCTCAACCACCTCGCAAGCATCTTTAGAAAATTCATTCGGTAAATAAACAAATTGAATATAGGGCAAAATGTACGAAATAACTACCTCTTTTCATAACTATCCTTATTATAACATTGTATTTTCATTTTTTTTTTGTATTATAACAATTTACTTTCAAATTATTTTTTTATTAGCGCATTGTACTTTGAAAAATTACCTACTATAACATTGAATAACTTTTTGATCTAAATTTACTCATTATACAGGTTTTCATGTCACCCCAATGTCCATGTAAGTTGTCCACATATATTGACGTGACATTTCTTATTATAACATCGTATTTTCAAAATTATTTTATTATAACACCTATAAAACATTCTACTTTTAATTTTATTATTTAAACATTTTATATATTATTAGTTAAATATATTGAATGAATTAGACATTTTTCAAATTATTCATTAATATCAACACATTTTTTAAAAGTACGTATTTTTGAAAAATAAAACAAGAATTGCTACCTTTTTTCACCAAAAAAATATATCATACTAGTTTGAAAAAATTACTTGACATAAAAATATATTACATTAATTAGATTTTTTTAAATTATTAATTAATATAACAATATTAAAAAAATGTAGATCACTATTTATCTCGCTAACATCAAAAAAAACTTTTTTTTTTATAAACAAAATAGTTATCCCGAAAATAATATATCATTCATTTAAGAAATCTTTACTCTAAAATATTTAATTTACATGTAATGTAATATGAAAAATTGAAAAAAGATTAAATATTTTTTTCAGAATCATTAAAAATAGGTTTATTATTATTATTTTATCTATATCATCAAAATGATGTGTCATTCACATCATCTAATTAAATCCAAGAAAGCAAAAAAAAAAGTAAAAGGGTTGACCGGTTTAAAAAACGATAGGCTACCTATTGTTATAATGGTTAGATTTTTCAAAATACAATGTATTAATAAAAAATAATTTAAAAATACATTACTGTAACAAAAAATAATGAAAGTTGAATATTTATATAAGTAAATTGCTATTTGACGTGAATATAAGGTCATGAAATGACACACAACTCCTGTGCAACGTCTAATTAGATTTTGGCAAGCAGGCCTGAAGCCCAAGACCCGTTAGGACTTGTTACATTACAAGAGGTCAGAACAGGTTACTACAAATCGGGCAGGTCATTATTATTAGTTACGAATTTTTAAAGTTAAGCAGGTTACCTTTTTTTTGGGCCATTTTGCCCTCTTGATTGAATATAAATAGGTGTATGAGTTGGTAGCTTATTCATACAAATCAAAAATCAAGTAATAGTTTGTGTTCTTGAAGCCCGATTTATCATGTTTTAATGCTTGGCAAACACAAAAAGTATTTTTAAAACAGGTTACATAATTTTTTTAGTGAATGTTAAGTTCATTAAAAACCTTATTTTTCGGTTTAAAGAACCGCGGCCTTGGGTACCAGTTACGGGTTTTTTCCAGAGAAAATGGACTGATAATGGTTACATGTAAAACTGGTTGTAAAAGAACCGAACCCTGTTAAATGCCCGATGAGACCACAGCTCAATTCTATGTCTAATCCTACCCAAGACAACCAGGGTCAAAAGTTGTTTCAAGTCAATTTCCTTGAACACAAGATGAGTTATGAAAGAAAAGATGAGAAAATGATAAAAAGATGGATGTATGCATTGATGGAAAGCAGCTTTTGAAACACAAGTTGGTAAAATAAAATTTAGAATGCTGAGGAAAAAAAAATACAAGCAACCTTCTTAATGTTATGCTGTCACTATAAAATCAACTTACTTCAACCCATTTTAAGACCCACAACATGCTGATTTCTGACCACCTTCAGAAGACCCTCCTGCTGCCTGCCCTTGTTGATTGATCTTAATGGTCTGTGGCTGCCATACAAACAAAACAAAAACAACATCATGCAAACATTCCATCACCTTTCTTTCATCTTAATTAATTAAGCTCATGCAAACATACCTCAGCCTTTGTGTCACTTTCAGCAAGTCTTGTCTTTATATCCCTAGCTATTGAGAAGAACACCTCCTCCACATTCATATTTGTTTTTGCACTCTGTTTCAATGTTCAACACTCAATGTATATACATATGTAAAAGGAGCAAACAGAAGCACATGTTTTACTTACAGTCTCAAAGAATTTGATGCCATACTCGTCAGCAAGCGCCTGACCTTTAGAGGTAGGAACGGCCTACATATTACCAATTTCACTAAGTGTTGATGAAGGGAAACATGGGTATAAATGCATAATTTATAGATGTAAGAATGGGAAAGAGAGAGAACAGACCCTTTTGCTTTCATCCATGTCAGCCTTGTTCCCGACCAGTATCTTGTTTACATTATCAGATGCATGCTGTTCTATGTTTCGGATCCAATTCCTGATGTCTAAACATAGAAAAACAATTTATTTTATTTCTTAAAAATTTAGAGTTGATGACCAAGAACAGAAAATATAGACAGCAGATGACTGGCCCAAAAGGAAACATAATACCAACAAAATTTATCTGTTGGAGAAAAAGATTTTGGGAAAACTACTTCACGCACGGTCAACAACAATCTATATTTGTAGAGGAGAGGTTTAAGCAATTACTGTTAAATGACGATTCATCAGTTACATCATACACCAGCAGAATACCCATGGCTCCACGGTAATAAGCTGAAATAGGCCAACATTAGTCAAGAAATACATCAAGTCAAAGACACACACATACACACTTCATAAAATTCCTTCCACATAAAACACTAGTGTCCAAAGAATGACTACAAATCCTTCTCTCACATAGCATCACAATCCTCTCTCTCTCTCTCTCTCTCTCTCTATATATATATATATATATAAAGAGAGAGGGAGAGAGTCAGGTCCATACGAGAATAGCAACTAAATAAGAAAATAAGAAAACGGTCAAATTACAAGTGATTTTACACTAAAAGCACGTATAAAATCATATGTGATCCACGCGACTTTGATGGCGACCTCGCGACCCACGTCGCCCACACACCCTTTTGTCGACCGTTAATGTAGAATCACATGTGATTTTGCACATGATTTGGCCGTTTTCATATCCTCTTATTTAGTTATTATTCTCGTTTGAACCTCCCTATATATATCAGTGCAAAGAAAGATAGCCAGCCACAAGTTGCTGAAGTACTTGGGATATAGGCTGACATTCTAGTTAGATGAACAAATAAAGTCATTACATCTTCAGATAATTCTCACATTTATGTTAATCGTTAAAAATCATTCAAAACACATAGAGTTCTTAAAAGGCCTTCCTTCCAAAGTTCCCAATAAGATAAATAATTACTCCTGATTAACTAATGTCATAATGCACCAATGCTTAATCCGCGTAGCTTTGAATAAAATATGATTGTTGACAATGAAACAGCCTTATAGTTAAAACATATTTTCTAAAAAGAGCACATTCCACAAGCATCTTACAAAGTGCACATGTGACAGCTCATCTAATTAACACATCAATAGAATCATCAATCATGTAAACCCATAAAGATTCTTCTGCTACAGACTCACCGGTTGTGATTGTCCTGAATCGCTCCTGCCCAGCAGTGTCCCAGATTTGCAGTTTGATTCGTTTTCCATCGAGCTCGATGGTCCTTATCTTAAAATCAATACTATAGGACAAAACAATTGAAGTTACGAGTATGCATGGATACTTCTTGAAATTAAATTCTCATAAAAAACATGCAATTAAGAATTTGAATATACATACCCTATAGTCGTAATGAAACTAGTGGTGAAGGAACCATCTGAAAATCGTAAAAGGAGACAACTCTTACCAACACCTGCAGCAATTAATTGAAGATGATCGTAAAAATGAGTTGATAACTTCATTAATCTACTAAAGAGGTTTTACAATAGAAATACCTATAAGATAATAATAACAAACTAAAAGAAGCGATGTTAAATTTGAAGTTGAAAGTGGCAAGTCGAATTTCCAAAATCAAAAGTAGATTCCAATTACAGGGTCAGAGGGAGGGATACAAAAGCGAGAGGCTACAAGATTTAGACTATCCCATATGCAACTGAAAACATAAACAAGTTAAGTGATGATCACAAGCCCAATTGAGATAACTATGCAACTGGGGTCAGGAAATTAATGTTATCATTACAAACACATCAATAGTGAGATGGACAACATTTAGATCATAGACTCAAAATCAAAAGAAAAAAAAAAGATGAGATATGTTTACAGCTATATTGGTAACAGGTTCAGATCTTGGTATGCGTAACACTCCAAAATGCGACTAAAATGTAATGTGAAGTCAGGGACAGGGACTATTTGTGCAGAAGCATGAACATGTGGAGTCCAAGGGTCAAATGGCCATCCAATAAACAAAGCTCAAGGGACTATGTGCAAAGTCTTAAAAAGGTTTGACTTAGGAACTTGGGGGAGAAACCAACAGCAGCAATGGTTTGGAGGGCCGATTAAGCAGCAAAAATTGGAGAAGTTGACACCTCATTTCGGTTCTCCACTGCTCCAAATTGAAACCCAGAGAAGGCTTAGTCAAAAATGAGAACTTAAAGCCATGAATTGGATGAGGAATGGGTGTTCTAGTGTTCATATGCTTAATTTAATACATATTGTGTTAGTTTAATTGATGATTATGCATGCCAAAAAATGGTTAAGTGTGTTGGTAGTGAATAAATGAAAGAAAAATTAAAGAGTTGTCTGTGCGACTTTGTGTGTTCACTGGTCGTCCAGAACAGCCTATATGCGATATAAGCAATCCTAAAGACGACCTAGAGGTTGCACAAGCAAAGTCATGAAGATAAAGGTCGCCAACTCCAAACATGCTTAGGAAGCTGCATAGACTAGTCAATCCAAGTTGCATGTAATCGCCTAAGTGTGTTGATAACCAAGAAGCCACTATCGACCAGGATTTATTGGGTCAGTTTGTTTTGGTTTTGTGGAAGCGAGATCAGACAACGTAAGGCCTCGTACACCTCTTCAGGGTGCAACAGTGATTTAATCAATATAGATTGTTAACTAAGCCCATACGAGCTTTAAGTGCTTAGAAATCGTATATGAAGTGTAGATAGTGTGCAAGCAGAATCAGACTAGCCCACATTTGTTAAAGGTGAGTTTCATTGACTTTGAAACTGGGTTACACAAATATGTATGCTTACCGTATTTTTCAAAGATTGTATGTGCATGCTACTTGTTTACAGTTCCATGTTGTAAAGCTTCTATGCATGCCATATATGCTATGGTATTTTGAAAGTAAGTTATGCATGAAATGTTTTAGATATGTGGGGGGTTTTATATACCAGGAAGCGGATAGTTGACAAGCGGACCACTGCGTAGATACATAGAGCTAGTACATGTATTAGAAAGTCCCACTGTACTTGGCAGAGACAGATGTTACCTGTACATACTAGTACGGTCATTGTGCTTGTTAGGTTCAAATATTACCGCTATTCATATTCCATTTACTGCTTCAAATGAGTGAACTAGACACTCTGAGAAGCAAAATCAATCTCAAGGAATGTGGAGCGCAGAGCAGCAGTGACATCTCGAATAATAAAACGTAAAGAAGCTAGTCTTGCACTCTGGCTGTTGATTCTGTCATTGCTTCGCACAGGCATGAATTGACAAAGAAAAGGAGTGTCAAAATAAATTGAGTGTGTAGATATCAGCTCCCGTCAGTAAACTACCTTGGAGAAAGAAAACTCCTGGCATGGAGTTCGAATGAAAGCTTCTATACCCTCTCTGGTAATCACATATGGTGAAAAAGCAAGCACTTCCTCACTTCTTGATCTTTTTTGTTGGACATGCAAGCTAAACTACTGGGTAAATGAAACTTTGATACTATATAACAAAACTTTAGCAGAATGTATTTGAGCAGGCTGACCTTAACATGTCTAACTTCCACATGAGCACCCCATGTACATGACTATCCCATAAACGTTTGACGTAGAAATTAGAATATATAAGTAAGATTTCACCAAATACACAAACTACGATTAGCATGGGTCTTATGATTACGATTCCCCCCCTGCCCCACCCTCAAAAATGTTCGCCATCAGAAGAACATTTGCTTTTCCAATCCCATAAAGCAAGTCAACACAAAGCAACCGTCCTTTAACGCACAATTTTCTAAATTATTGTTTGAAATATAACCCTAGTAAACACTGAAACATCTAAAATGTGCATGGTCCATCTTTCCTATGTCATCGCAAATGTCATCAGAGGCAAATTAAGAGATCCCAAGCTCAACATACAAAGTTCCCAAATAATTCGAAGCAAATCGGTCATAAAATCACCACAAGAAAATACGTAAATCGGGATTCAATATTAAAAGGGGAAAGAGAGGAAATGAACAAAATAATACATACCGCTGTCGCCAATTAGGAGAAGTTTAATGAGGTAATCGTAATCCGCTCGAGCTCTAGCTGGTGGAGCCGCCATTTTCCTTGATTTAAATAAATCAGATTGAACAAAAACCCTAGAAAAACTGGCAACTTCTTCTAATCTTCTTCCTCTGATCATACAAATAAATATTAAGGAAAATAAAGTTGAGAACAATAATATTGGGAGCAAAAACCTATATGTACAGAGATTTGTATGTATAGATTTACCAGATCACAAGGAAAAGAGAAAGAGATCTAGCACATATGGAGACGACGAAGATGAGAAGCCTCTCTGAGACGTCACCTGTGGTCGGCCGTTCAAATATGATTTTATTTATTTCTTTTATATTTTTTGACGTTTTCTTTTACGTCAACCGTAGATTAAGAAAAAACATATAGCCCCTTGGATTTTGCCACGTACTTAACGAGATCACTGTTTCATAATAATTATGAAAATTAAAAATTTCATAAATCATTTATTTTCAAAATACAATATTTTTAATTTGTTTTTTTAAGTACTATAAATTCTATTTATTTATATATTATCTTATAAATTACATTATATCAATGTCTAAAAATATTAAGTACTACATGATTTGAAGGCCTAAAATAAATAATTAAAGAATTAAAGGTCTCTTGCTCATAATTAAAACTAAACTAAATCAAATATCATTATTTCTAAATTTAAAAGTACTTAAATTATATAAAAAATTGAGGATTTTATATTTCTTAATTTAACACTTAAGAATAAATAACTTTTTTAAATATAAAAATGATTTAAGTAATTTGCTTTCATTAAATTATGCGTTGTATTTATATATATATATATATATATATATATATATATATATTCTAGATGATTTCATAAAAGAGCTCAGTCAAGTTAAAAGGAAAAACATGTGAAATAAGACCAGAGCAATTCAACTTAAATGGACCGTAGAATTGATATAGAAAGTAAAAACTTGCAACAAATTTCTAAAGGGTGGAGTCGATGGAATGAACCAAAACAATTAGGCGGTTGTATTTTTTTTTTTTTTGAAGGAAGTTAGGCGGTTGTACTTGATGGCAAAAAAAAAGAGTTGTCATATGATAGATAGAAAAATCAATCACAAAATCAAAAACATTATAGATAGAAAAATCAAAATTATAAAATCAATAATAAATTAACAAAAATCATCAGATTTTTTGATTTTGTAACTCCAAATTAATAATAATGGATTTACATAAATACCATTTTCCACTTAGTTCACATATGTTTGTAAAATTGTAAATTTAAAAAATTAAAATTTTAATATGATAAATCTGGCGGCGTCATTTTTGTTCCCACATGATTGCTCAAGCCAATGTCAGATCGGTGGGTACGACGTGTTCCTAGGGACGTGTGTGGTTATCAAATGACGGGGGATTGTAAGAGATCCGAAGCATCGGAAAGAGTGCCCGAATGAATTCTATCCAGAGAGGTTTGAGAATCTGGAGGTGGATTTTTTAGGGAACCATTTTGAGATGATATCGTTCGGTGACGGCCGGAGATCCTGCTCGGGGATAAAGTCGGCAACCTCCATCACAGAGTTGAGTTCAGTAAACCTTCTTTACTGGTTTGATTGGGAGGTCGCAGATGGTGAGAAGAATGAAGATTTGGAGATGGAAGAGGAATACTCGTAGCTCGTAAGAAATCACCTCTTCGTCTTGTGCCCATCAAGCAAATGGCAAGACTAGATAGATACCGCTCACATGAAGTATTTTGTTTGAAACTGTTTTCAATTTGCCATTTTTCTGTTCTTATATGATTGATGGTCAATTTTCAACTAAAAGTTCTCATGGATCGCACTCGGGACTTCATAGGTTTGCTTTGAGGTCAGCTATAGCAACTAATTACACGGTCCAGAGCTTTGATTACACCATCTCCGATACATACTTGGTCGAATTTCAGAAACAATTTCAAGAAGGTTTCCAACCTCGAATCTACCCCTCCACACTGCCTGGCTGCCTGCTGATCAATCAATGGGACCATTCCTCCCTCACCGTGCCTATCGTCTCCAACTCTCCCAACTCCCACCTCTATTATGACCATTCATCGTGCAGCCATACATCAAAACCCAAGAACCCTTACACCACTATAGAACCTCCGTTTCCCTCTCCTCATTGTTGCAACCTTCAGGCACTACTATCAACACATCCCTCTAGTTCTTTAAACTAGTTGTTCGCAAATAATATGACATGCTAAACCTAATCTATTAGAAATGCTAGTTTAAACAACCATTCTCAAAAAATAATCAGGCCCAATCTAAAGCGTTAAAATTAATTAGCAGACCCGAATGATAAAAAATATATGAGCAGGACCGGCAACCCATTTATATTTTTATAATTGATTAAACTTCATATATAATTAATATTTATTACTTTTTATTAACAAAACTTTATAAGTCCACTTGATTGATTTGGGGTAAACTCCTTTTACTTAGTATTTGATATGTCATGTATTTGTCTCATTTCTCAATATTTAAATATTAGATGGTGAAACATTTGATTATTAAAAAACATAGACATTAGAGATTGGTAAATCATTGAGATGAAATGTTCATACTTCATATTTTGTTATTTTTTTTAGCCATGTACGTTTTTTGTTTTTTTATTTTAAGTTGGAAAAAAATGTATTTTGAACGATTTAAATAGATTATGATTTTATGTAAGTTTATGTTTTTTAATGTATAATGTATTTTAGTCTCACTAGGCAATGGGCAAGCCGGATATGTTTCTAGGAAAGGTTTGGAATTGTTATATTAGATCATTTGGACAAATAAAAACATGCTAAACCCGACTCGTGCCAAGCCGAAACCCGCAAATGAAATGATCACTTACACTCTCCAACCACCATCACCACTCCATCTCCCGTCGCACATGTCCACATGCATAAGACAACGAACAAGAAGGTGCATAGTTTGGTTGGGACATAGATGGTTCCGTTCTACGCCCCAATTGCAGAAGACGACGCAAATGAAGATGTAACGGTGGGGTGCACACATGTTCTTTGCTTCGTTTGAGCGGAACACCCATTTTCCATCAGTGGTACAATCAGGATTTGTGAGATGAATTGTTGGGGGGGGGGTGTGAATGGAGAAATGGTGGTGGATGGGAGGAAGGGGAGAAGGGATGAATGTGTTAGGGTTTTTCTAGAAAAAGTTAAAAGATAAGAAAATGGTAAAATGACAAGTTTTGTCCTTACGTGATACCACTTAACAAGTTTACAAACATTAGTATAAAGGGCCAATATCAAGTAAAAATACAAACGACAATGACAAATTTAAAATAAACAGTAAGATGGAGGGCAGTTGTTCTTCGGAAAAATGGACGTTAAAGGCATGTAGGCGGTGACCGTGTCTCAGTCTCAGTCTCAGGATGGTGATCATTTGAAAAGACCGGTTAAGAATCATTCGCTTGGTCAGGCTTTACAAACCATATGACCAAAACATGAAAATAACAAACCATATGGACCAAATATGTAATTTGACAAGAAATTCAATCAATGACTTGGAGAAACGGTCGGAGCAAATAGTCTATGAGATTGATCCGAACCGGTATTCTAACCCGGGATCTTTAAAAGGGTTTATCAGGTTTATATCCTGCTGTTCCGATTCTTCCTAAAACCTTTGATTTCTCTCTCACACACATTAAACCCTCGAGATGGGTTCATACACGAACACGCCAAATTTTGACAATCTGCTCCTTCAAACCTTAATGGGTAGGCTTCAAGTCCGTCCACCCAACCCTCTTCAACACCAATCGTCGCCATCTCTAAACCAAACCCTAGAATCTCTCCTATTAGATACATTAAGCAACCTCGCCGATACCGAAGACGACGATGATGAATCCAACAACAGCGGCAAAGCCCAGCTCGCCAAAGAAGAATCGAAGCTGGAAAAGGAGGTGATTAAGATCATTCTTAGTGGAAACACAGAGGAATCCCTAAAACCGAATTCGGGTCAAGCCGTTAGGATTGGAGAACACCATATTTGTATCGGGTATCATGTGGAGCCCGGGTCGGAGTATCGGGTCTGGGAATGGCATGGTCATATCATGCTGTTTGATGAAGAAAATGGGTATAACCCGGAGTATATTTACGGGAATTATTTCGAGAGGCTGAGAGTTGTACCGGAGAAGAAGGCTGAGGAGGAGGTAAAGGGAGATGGCGACGATAACGATAAGGAGGAGAAAGCGGTGAATTCAGGGTTAAAAGAGCTAATTGAATCAAGCGATGAATCAGGGTCGGGTCGGATACTCCATCGCAACATGAATGTTGGGTCCCCTAGGTATATCAAACAACCCAATTTTGAGTTCATATATTGATTATGCATTCATATGTTATCAAAAAATCTGTGCAGAAATTCAACAATTTTGTTTCAAATTGCTGTTAAATTTGGGTTCCAGTTTCAGGAATTGGTTCAACAAGATGTCAAATGTCTCAAAAATAACAATTACACACATCTTCAAAGTTGCCTCCAGCCTTGCTAATGTTTAACTCTTCAATGGATACCAAGTTGTAATGGACTAATGGTTGTATTCTCCAGTTGTTGAAGTACATTAGATTGGCTTACAGCATGCAAAGTATCACTGGTATAAGGAAATTAAACCTAATAGATAGTAACTAGAATCCTAGAGCAAGAACGTAGAAATTAAGTGCTCATAGTCAATTTGTATTTGAGTAATCGAGTTTACCTTCTATTTATAGACCAGTTTTGGCCATTAGATCAGCTGCCGACATGAAATCTAGCACCGGTTTAAGGAATTAAACCTGGTAGAGTACCACGAAAGTTGCTACTTTCACGTGCCTTTTGCCCTTTTGGGGTTTGTCGCGCCATTGAGCATGTAGTTCTTGTAAGGTGTGTTCAGTATGCGGAACAGAACAAAAACTTGTTGTAACACGTTTGGCGTGACATTGAATTGGTACAGAACGGGATTGAGTGGGACACCAAAATAGGTCGAACAAAAATCAGGGAGATGGGACACTAAACTACTCATGCAAAATTAAAATCCTAAAAAACCTTCCACAATTCTTTCACCCACCTACACCCTTAGGTCACAAGTTCTTTCATGGTTTGTCATGCGTTCAAGGTGTCTCTGTATGCTTGGACCATTTATTGTTTTATGCCTTCAAGGTGTCTCTGTATGCTTGGACCATTTATTGTTTTATGCCTTCTCGGGTTGGTTCATGTTCAATCTTACATTCCGCTGCATGCCATAATATGTATGGGTGTATCTTAGTTGCTATGGGACCAAATGTTTTTCTAAAAGAACACATAATGATTTATGGGAAATAGCTCCAATAGATGGTCATAAGATTTGTGCATATTAGGGAAAAATCTTTACAGTTTTACATAGTCCATAAACCATAGTTCTACCAATAAGCAAATGCATATGCTTTTACACTATTCATTGTAATGACGTCGTTTTTGTATGCTAGCAAAACGATGTGTTTAGATTTAAGACAAGTGATGTGGGCAAAGTGGATATAGTGCTCCAGATGATGTTGTCTATGAAATTTCTTAATAAAATTCATGTTGCAGCAACTTTTATAGTGTCTTATATAGAGTTCATACTTGCAAAGATTCATAAAAAAGACCAAGTAATGCGAATTTTTTATCCATTTTACTTTGCTTTTCATAACTGTTGTTCTTATGAAAACCAAAAAGATTAAAAGAACATTACATCTGCAAAAAGTGTTATGCCAAAGCTTCATTCTACATGAGTTTTTATGCCTCGAGTTTGTGTACTGCTTTATATGAAAGTACATATCCTATTTCTTTTCCATTTTGCGCGACCTAAGTGGGTTGTCTTGTCGTTTTAAACGTCATTCACAGGGTCTAGTCAAGCTCCTTTCGAGACGTTGATGCCAAAGTTTGAATCAAAAGGAAAACAGAGTCTGGCGTATCGAGTGTTGATCTTTCTGGATGCTATCAAGTTGTTCCTATTTCACAGTTTTATATGTTGTTTTGAATAGAAGTTAGAATCTTTGCTTTCTGGGCAACTTCGCTGAGATTGATTGATTTATTTATTTTTGATTGATTGGAACATGAAATAGATGAAAGAAGCTTATGTGCCATACATACTACAGAATAGTTTTGCTTTCCATTTTTGCTTCATGCAGATTCAACAATCTCATTTAACTATTGATGCCATCTGATCATTTGATAATTATAAGTCCCCTATTGATCTGTTCCAACGGTGAAGGTGTGGGCGTAATGCATATGAATGAGGTCTCCAGTTCGAGCCTATTACCCGTTGATTTACCTCTCCATAATGATCGTGAGACCCGTGTAATGGGGGCGCTGCAGAGAGTGGAGTTTACGCTTACGATAATCATATATTTTGCGGTTTGTTTCTCATATAATGTCCTGTTTGTTCCTCACCGGTACAAACTGTTTATCCAAACACTTAAACGTGTTTATTACCGGTGTCACACCAGAATAAGTCAATAAATTGTTTTTATAAGCAATCTTAAACACCCCCTAAGTGCAAGTATAACTTTAGGGGTTGTTTGTTTACCTTTTAATAGTTCTATTAAGAGGCAACATCTGAATCGTTAAGGGATAAATCTTGTTTGGCAAAAAAAAGTTTGTCTCTTAATAGTTTTAAAATTATTTGAATGATTATGTATCATGGGTGTCCCTTAATTCTTAGCACCTCAATTCCATTGTAAATAATTACCGAACAATTATATTTTATTTTGCATTATACCACACTAGTTGTGTACCCGCACAATGCGGCGGGAGCCATGAATTTTAACGATTTTGAAGTTCCACTGGTTTTATAAGATAAGATTTAACGATGATATATGTTACACTTGGTCTTTACATATTAATACAATTTGAATAAATAAGAGTTATGGTTCAAATTACAGACTATCGATGAAAAAAATTGTATGACAGTTTAAAATCTAATATATTTAAAATCCAACATATTTAAATGACTCCACAAATGTATTCGATTTACACCAAGAGCAAAGAACCAAGAAACTTGAGTTTTAAGATAAACACTCAAAACCAATATAGAAAACTACAAATTTGATAGATCATAAGCTATGAAAAGACAAAAAAAGATGGGTTTTAGACTGAAATTTCAACTGTTTACCTTCTTTTTTTGTCAGAAATTCAGATTAAGGTTGAATTAATACATGTATATATATATTTCAAAAAAAAACCCAAGAACATATTAATTCAAAACATATTATACAGTACAAATTGGACGGCCTAACCCCAAAATATATAATATATATATAAATAAATAACTGTAAAAGTATAAATCGTAAATATTAAAAATATTTTTTCACAATATATATAATATATAATAATATAATTAAGTAAAAAAACTATTCAATATTGGACTCATTTCGAAGGTATTAACGAGACGATTATAATGTTGTAACTTGTTAAAATAAAAATGTATTTTTTAAACATGTNCAAGAGTTTGGCGCAAAAAGAATGAAGAAAAACGGTTAAGAAACGAGCCATTTTCAAGCTCAAAGAGCTTGAAAACGTGCAGCCCCTTGCTGCAGTTTTCGTCATTTATTGTTTCTTCTTTTTATTAAAAATTAGTTGGAGAAGAGGTGCTGAGGCCAGGTTTCGAACCCAAGACCTCACACACATGGTTGAACACCTTAACCAACGGGCTATATATGAGATTTGTTGCTTTTTATGTGTTCATATTTTTAATATGTTGTATATATCTGAGTTTCARAAATTAATTTTTAACACCTTTAGGAATTTAATTTCTCTATATAAATTTTATGAAACTTTCATTAAGTTGTTTGTATTTTGTAAAATGCAAACCTTGACCCCATTCCGATTATTTACCCCGTTTAGTTACCAAAATGACCCTACAATGTGGAAATCGGTATTTTAGCGATACTTTACGTAATTGCTTTATAAATTACCGAAATGACCCTATGTCTTGGGGATTGGTCTATGAGCTTCATTTTTATATTATAATTTTTATAAAATTACCAAAACGACCCTATATTTGGAAATCAGTATTTTAGCAATACTTTACGTATTTGCTTTATAAATTACCGAAGTGACCCAATGTCTTGGGAATTGGTATCTAAGTGTTATTTTCAGTCTAATCCTTATGAAAATTACCAAAATRACCCTACAATWTGRAAATCGGTATTTTAGCGATACTTTACGTATTTGCTTTATAAAATTTCCGAGATAACCCTATGTCTTGGGATTGGTATCTAAGTTCTATTTTGAATTTAATCCTTATGAAAATTACCAAAATAACCCTACAATATGGAAACCGGTATTTTAGCGATACTTTACGTATTTGCTTTATAAATTACCGAAATAACCCTATGTCTTGGAATTGATATCTAAGTGTTATTATGAATATAATCCCTATAAAATTACCAAAATGACCCTACAACTTGGAAATCGGTATTCTAGCGATACTTTACGTATCCGCCCTATAAATTACCGAAATGACCCTATACCTTGGGAATTAGTATCTATGCTTTATTTTGATTGTTATCCTTATGAAATTACCAAAATGACCTCACAATTAGGGARTCGGTATTTTAACAATACTTTGAGTATTGCTTAATAAAATTACCAAAATGCCCCTATGCTTTGGGATTGGACTTTTAAGCACATTTTTAATATTCGACTTATGAAATATACCAAGAATGTTCTAAATTAGGGAATTGGTAAAGGTATACCTTTGGYATTCGGCTTCGTAAGATTTACCGAAATGCSCCTAGACTTGRAAAATTGGTATTCTCACATTATTTCGAGTATTAATTATGTTGAACTTTAAAGTTATGAAATGACCGTTATTTTTATGCGTGTGACTTGTTGTCACTTTTATTTACTTGCAAATCTTAAACGAGACGTTTTGGTCACAAAACATTATTTACGTTGCAAACTATTTAGTTTAGTTATTTTGGTAGAATATTTATTATTCAATAAAATGTGAAGTATATTGCTTATTTTATAAAATGAACAAGCAACAATTAATATTTAACGACGTCATATTATTAATAATATTTTAAGAAAATATTGGAGTGAAACATGAGATATGATGTTATCGGGGGTTGATCAATAAAAGAAAAAGTCGTGTTAAGATTGTTAAAGAATAGTGATCAATTTAATTATGATTATTTAAGATACTTAGGAATGGTATAAATTATCATGTAGGTTGCCGTTTTTGAGAGAACGACCTATCGAACGTTAACGATTCAAGGTGAGTACATATGCGATTTTTATGGGATATATACATGATTATTACAAAAGTATTTTATCCATGATATTTGCATGATGTGTTTATATGCATATGATGATAACTTGATTATTTAATGTGCATGATATTTAAATATATGCATGATATGAAAGGTGATGTTGACGAGAAAGATTATGATGACTTGTTATTATCAGTATGATATTCAAGTATGTGTATAATGTGAAAGGAATGACRATGATGCATATGTGATTTATGTTGTCACTTGCATGAGATGTATGTTGCATGTCACGATGAGATTTGCATTAATGAGTGAGTATTGCAAATAATGATATGCAACTAGTATGATTCGGCAAGATTCGTCCACCGTACGGGGTGGGTTGGACATAAAAGGAGGGCTTGCAATTCCGAGGTCTTGGAGTCCTCGTCCATAGAATACGCCACATACGCAAAGAAAAGTGACGAGCCGATGCCTCACTTGCAAGATAACAATTAAAATACGCTAAAACGTTGTTTTGTGTGTGCATGTGATCATGAAACCATATTGTATTCACTAAGCTTTTTGCTTATACTATACATGTATATATATCTCAGGTGTCATTTGTCAGTAGACGAGTGAATGAAGAAAKACGGGACTATGTTTTTGAATCATGCTTGATTAGATATTTTAATTAGCATTGATTATGTTAAAGTATTTTACGCTTCCGCAATTATGTAACGAATTATGTTAAACATGTTATGTGTGTTTG